ACCTTCGAATTGTTTTTTCATAGGAGCTGCAAAAGGAGGGAGAGAAGGTGGTCATGTGTTCATTCTAACAGCACAAGAATGGAGGAGAGAGAAAGGTAAAAAAGGAAAGAGAAGTGGGATCAGTGATTGTGATTCCAGTATGAGAAAAGGAAGGAATTCCATCCATTGTGGGGTAAATGGACCCCATTAATGTTTCTTCTTTGTGCTACACTTCTTTTCATGTAGATAATTACTCCTCCCTCTCTTTCTCAATGTTATGGGAGAAGGGAATGGGATAGGGGTTGAGATAACTCAATTATACGATTAAGGGTTTGTTCTTATTGAATTAAGCTGAATTGAACTTAATTGTTTATAACAGAAGAAAATTAGGAACTAAGTTGAAATTAAGCTGAAGAGAACAGACTCTAACTTGTTCTCCATCGATCACCACCCTAACTCACAATACTTTTTTTAGGTATGTTATTCTTAGATTCCTTATTTATAAAATTAACTTCCTTTCATGTAGCTATTGAGTCAAGCTAGTAATGTATTTTGGGTGGTGATGCATTTATAAGGGTAGTGATGTAATTTTTGATATCGATGGAGGAGGGATTGTTTTGGATTTGGATTTGGATTTGGATTAGGAGTTAAGATCGTTGTACGATGTTTGTTGAGGAAATTGACTGATTGATCGAGTTCAATCAGCGTGGCTTTTTTTGCATCCCCTTGATTTTTTTATTTGTTTTTTTATTTGGCTTTATGTTTTGCAAAATTACAAAATGGAGATGCTTTTATGGCAATAAGATTTCATTGTCTTGAAAAGGATATTGAATTATTTTGATCCATTGGTTACTATAACTACATCATTACATGATTACTTTTTCATAACCATGAAATGCATAAGAAAACAATCAAAGCATCAAGTAAAATAATTATCCTCCAAAACTTATTTGCCACATGTCTATTTATCATCCCTAAACTTCAAAATTTAGTAAGCTAGGTATGGCTTTTGCATTACATACCTAATTAAGCAAAGAATGGAGGGATTGAAAAATCATGAGAAACAGGGATGGAGGGTGATTTGGAAATTTATAATACTTCATATTTCGTATGAAACAACCTGCATCCCAATCCAATTAATTTTTACAAGTTATAAGATTGCCTCCCAAAACAAAATACGTAGTATATAAAACCTCGTACAATCATAATTTGAGTCCCTTATCCTTATATTATCTTTCCTAATTTTGTATAAATATTATTAATCGAACTTATTTCTCTTAGCCTAGCTAGGTTAGTAATTTTAATCTTTTAATTATGTATTATGCTCAGTAAATGACCAAATACATTAAATAATAAGGAAAAATTAATAGAATTGGGAATTTTACAAAAACTGTAATATGGAAGCATGGAAGAAGAGTACAATTATCCTGTTTAAGTCATATTCACTAGCAAAGTGACATGGTCGCGTGCAGTTAGGCATTGTCATATGATATGTCAATGTCCAAATTTCTCATTTTTGTTATTTACTGTTAATTTATGGCTGTAAAAATGTTTGATACATAACATGCAAAAACTCATAAATAGCCAAGATAGGTTTGTTGTATTTGGAATAAAAATTATTACAAGAAAACGATTGTTTTGCATAATTAAAAGTACTACAAAAATTAGTTTACCATTAATATAATAAAGAGAATTTGTCACTTGATTATGAGCTTCTTTGTACAGATGCGTGTGTGATGAATCCATTTTTTTTTTCAAATCAACGAGGAAATAATTTTGATATCTTATATTAATTGTATTTTTTTTCAAATGTTCCTCAAATATTATCTTATTTTTGAACTGTCTTTAATATGAATATGAGATCCGGCCACCATTACAAAGTATCCACAATTCATCGAGCAAAAAAATAATTAGATGATTCTAAAATCACGTAGGACAAGATTTAGCCATAGCTGCTAAATTGACACATTTTTTATTAATATTGTCATTGTAGACATGCAATATGAAAGAAGCAAACCCATCTAAGTTGAGTTTGAAGGAACCGGTAGAAGGTGGCTTCCAACTCACACAAACTAGCTACACATTTTAGACCTTATATATAAAGGGATTCTTACTAATTATAAACTCAAAACCTTTTCCTTTTAACCTACATATAATATACCTCTTGCTATTATTTAACAAAGAAAATATGAGTGTTTCCATAATGGTCAAGTCAATGGTGATATGGAATGAGTATAATACTAAAATATTAGTATGTGGCATATTATTGGGATGATATAAAAAAAAAACAATAACAATATAGTATCATATGATTGTCCAAAAATATAAGTATAAATTTCCTACAATTGGTGGTAACGATGATGATCAAGATCAAGAAAAATAAAGTTTGTTATGTGGGTCATAAGAATTCTTCAATCCCATAAAACCAAAAGAGTTAGTGATTCAAATGATTAGCTTCAAAGTATTTTACTACAAAAACTATAGGTCATCAACTCACATTCCCATAAAAAGGAAAGTGTTTTATTTTATTTTATTTATAATTATTATGATTTTAATTTAAATTAATTAATTTGATTTGGGTGGGACATAAATTTCTTCCCTACCTTATTAGCTTTTAGAAAAGTGGCAAAGACAAGGTTTGAATAATGAAAGTAGCCGGGAAAAATATAAGTAAGAAATTGTTGGAATTAGCAAAAGTTGAAGAAGGAAGCAAAAGCAATCAAGAGTGGTGGGTGGGGTGGAGTGGAGTGGGTTTTTTCATGATTCTTTTTACACTTGGATTTTGGGTTTTGTGCATCAAAAGTCTCTGTTAGGGATATTAGTGCTAATTAACTTATTAATCACGCTTTTTCTCCTCTATTATGCTAATTATGTGCTTGTTTTGTTTAATCATCTTGATGACTTGATTACAAATATGGGAATGGGTTGTGCCAAGTGCCAATCCATAGCCCTTTGTATTATTGGGTTGGCCCAACATGATAATGTAGTAATATGTGTTGGGTCGACCTATTATGATGATTGACCATAACTGGCTCATGGGTCGATTTGATATACATGACTAAATTAGTTCATCGAGTCCAACTTCATATTGAACTAGAGACTAAAATTTGACGGTTTAAGACATGGAGATCGAGTTAATGATGGTTGGACCAAGTTTGGTAAACATAATCCAAAAGATGGATTGAGGGTTTGGATCAGTCTAAAATGATTTTTATTTTTCTAAGCAATAACATGGGGAAAAAAAAAAGAAATTATACATAGAACATATCATAATCAGAGCCTTAATTGAAAGCTTAATATAGAATATATCGTAACATATTTTAAGTTGAAAAAAAGTCTAAACACCTCTTAAAAATCCAAACATCCTTATATACGGATATATCTCTAGTGGTCGAATTGTAAATAAAAACAACATAACTGCTGACTCATCACTCATTTGATGAGTCACCACCACCTTACTCCATTATCCCGAATGAAAACAAGCTTCATCACCCTCTCCTCTCCTACCCAACCACCACCACTACCACCTTGCTGTATTTTTCCGTCGACAAATTTCCTCCGATGTCCCCTTTTCCTCTATGAAACCCATTACCACCACTGATCTTCCCATTTACTCATCGAAATCCATCATCGCCGCCACCACCACGAAGCACATCCTTAAACACTGCTTTGCAACATGGAGTACATGGTAACCCTTACCCTTTGGGGTTGTCCATGCCCTGAATTTCACAAATTTTCATAGGATTTTCGTTTTATTCTAGAGATGATGGGGCTGTCAATAGAAGTGTTAGTGGAAGTAGAGTTCGGGGAAGAGAAAAGGAGGTAGCTTCAATGGTGGAGGGAGCTTATGTCAGTGGAATGTCCATTTCAGCAACACAATACAACTAAGCAGCAAACATGAGCACCATCAATCTGATACGTTAGTGCCACTGTTCCTTTTATTTACGATATCACCATTAGATAAATAATTTTTTTTATAATTAAGATTAATGGGGGCTGCCTCAATCTCAAATAATATCGTAACATATGATATGATAAACATAACCTTCAATCTAATAGTTTACATATAATCTAATATCTATACTTAGTATTTAAAAATACAAACCACATATTTTCACATGACACATGTCATCACAAGTCACTCATTATCCCATATGCCCCATGTCACCTCCCTTAATTTTTTTGTTCTAAGTCTTTATGCATTCTATAACTTGGAAATTCTTGAAAGAAAATGAAGTGTTTCATTTCCACCATAATTTGTACATATTAAATAAAATATAGTATGAATTATAATCAAAATTGTCTTTTCATCTCCTACACTTAAATTATAACTTAAACTAATACGTCATTTCATATTCCACAATCTTCATGTATATATACTTAATCCTTCATCTTCTTTCAAAATTCTACTCTAACCATTTTTTTTTAAGTTTTAGCAATGAAACAATTACTTTGTATACTATATAAAAAGTTTCAATATATGAAAAGTATACCTATATTTGAAAATAATTTATCTAAGTAACAACCCGTGTATCGAACGGGTCAAAAGACTAGTTAAATTTTAAAACATGCTCAACTAATCATAACAACATAAGTGCCCAAATTATATGCAAATACTCTATTTCGTGTAAATATTACTCCAAATAGACTTTGCGCACACTCTCCAACCTTAAGACAAAAAAAAAAAAGGAAGTTCACCATTACAACGAACAAACGAAGTCTAACATCAACATTTCAACAAAACTCCTTCTTCGAACGTTTTTCCAATTTGAGCTCTAAACGTAAACTATTGACAAAAATGGTTGCGTGGCAAAACTATTTACCAAACTAAGCTTCCAGGGTAAATCGCTGTCTCGGACAGCGTTTTACCCCTGGTTTTTTTTTTAAAAAAAATTCAACTGGTAAACGCTGTCCCAGACAGCGTTTTACCTTCTGTATTTTTTTAAATTCAGTAGGGCATAAAACGCTGTCTCGGACAGCGTTTTATCCTTGGGTTTTTTTAAAAAAAATTCAATGGGTAAAACGCTGTCCGAGACAGCGTTTTATGCCCTGTTTTTTTTTTTAAATGAAACGCTGTCCGGGACAGCGTTTCATGGCCATATATCAGCATGTTCACTTCAGCAGAATGCGCAAGAACTTAACCTCAACGCTTTCCCTCCTCCCTCTCACACTAAACCACGACCGTACTCAAACACCCGCATTGCCGCCGCCGCCCACCCTTGCGCCACCGCTGCTGCCGCCACCTTGCTGCTGCCCTCCTCCCTCTCACACTCACTCACTCAATTTCGTGGTTAGCCCTAAACTGAATTTAGTGTAATTGCATAGTTATTGTGGTTAATTATTGTGAATTGTATGTAATTGCTCTTACTTGTTGTTAATTCATGTCAATTGCATGTAATTTTTGCTAATTATTAATGAAAATGTGGTACATTGTTGATAATTATTGATGGTGATGTGGTACATTGTTATTGAAATTGTTCATGACATTGGTGAAGTTGATGATGGTGAAAATGTTGAAGTTGTTAATGGTTGAAATTGGTGAGAAGAGATGAAATTGTTGAAATTATTGAAATAGTTTAGGTTGAAATTGTTGAAATAATTCAAATTGTTCATGAAATTGTTGAAATTGGTGAAGTTGTTGAAAGTGAAGTTGTTATAGGTGAGAAGAGTCTTATTTCAGTGTTGATAATTTACCTCGCTCTAGATTTCGATAATCCTAAAATGTGTTTTGGTTATGTAGAATATGGCGTCACAAAATGTAGTTTTGTTATGCCGGTGGGGAGGAGAAATTCTGTTTGATGGACCCCGGGTCGAGTATAGTGGGGGAAATATGGAACCACTAACACTAGAACCGAACATGACTATGAATGATTTGATGAATGAGGTTCATAGTAGTATTGGTTCAGACCCGATGACCGTTGACGTACACATTAAAATGAGGTTTGAGACCGGCAATGGGGTTCAAGTGTTACCGGTTTCTACGAATAAGCATGTGACAGCTCTAAGGAACGTTGTTGCAATGAAGGGTGTTCCCACTGAAATATATGTGGAAACGGTGCCTATATGTACCCAACAAAGTACTCGGCCAGAACAACAATCTACACGTATTTCTGGGTACAACACAGAGCCCTTTCAAGTGCCGTCACACGACATTCCATCAACTGAATATGGGATGGGATCTTTCAGTCGAATGCTGCACGACGATCCTGGGATCATTGCAGCAATGACTGATCCGAACGTTGGATTTACCGAGCCGCGAGCCTATCACAGATTTTGTGTTCGCCACATAGCTTCTAACTTGTATCGCCAGCTGTGCAGAGCATCCCACGTAGGTGCTAACGAGATTGGAGGTCCCCTGATTGTCCTCCAGGTACCTCACTTATTTCTGTACCAAAAAAACTATTTCACCACGCACTTACATATTTCATACTGAAGCTAGTTTTGTGTCTCTGTGTGCCAGTTCTGGGCTTGGGAGCATATCCATGTAGGCAGACCAGGCAGACCTGCGATACACCGTCGGGGGGAGCAGGACCAGGACGACCAGTACCAGGCGTACGATGCTCCCCCGCTCCCTACACCGGATGAGGCATATGGTTGCAGGTTCGATACAACTTTCATTGAGTTAGGCTTTATTTAATGCGCGGGGTTGTTAACTGAAACATTGTTCGATATTAGGTGGGTGGTACCCAGGCTGACACATGCTCATGCGGCGAGGGGTCTTCCGTATTACCGAGACGCCCTAGACCGACTCACCGAGGACCAGGTAACAATTTAAAATACAGTTTTAGCTTTTTTGTTTTAACATTGTACTTGTTGCGAACTAACATATTCATAATATTACTGTTGATGTGTATTTACAGGTGACATGGGACCCGTATGTACCTGACTTGGTAGATGCCATGCCTCCACATCTGCTAGACCATCAGGCGGAGTGGCGTGCTAGGGTCCCCCTGATCTGTTTCGAGGTTGTGGAGAGTCACCTGCCCGACCGAGTCATGAGGCAGTTTGGACTACGCCAGACTATCCCACAGGGGTGTGACACTAGTGTACAGCTTCACGGCATTGATCGTCGGGGAAAGGGGGAGACCAGCTGGGCGCTGGAGCATTGGCGTTTCCTTCAGCTATGGGAGCAACGGTTGGAGTTCATCGTTGGAGGTGATCTAATGCAGGGGGCTATGGATCCCGACGATCCGTACATGGTGTGGTACAGGCGTATCACACGACGCTTCATCAACCCCAGCTACGCACCACCATCCACACATTACCATCCAGCATATGACATCATTAGCGGATATGTGAGTTATTATTTTTCTACTCCTTTTCAACAATTTCCATATTTGTATGCCATAGATCTGACTGATCGATGATTACTGCAGGCGGCGGATATGGTGGCGATGGTTGATGCGCTATCAGTCTCCCTTGAGTGCGGACCCACTAGAGCCCAGGTCGAGCAGGTGCGAGATATGGGCGTCGCTACCTTACGGAGATATGGTCACGCTCATCTCGCCCACCGGCGGGACGGTCATGATGGCAACTCACAGTTCGATCTCGGCCAGAGCAGCGGTGGATGTGATCCTACGTCACCCAGACACGCAGAGGATTACAACATCCACAGTACTGCGCCCTCTGGTACCCAGGAGGACCCCTCGTCCAGTCAGCTGACTCCCCCACCGCCCCGAGACCCATTCACCACCGTCACTCATTACAGGCGGCGACGTGTCAGACGGAGGGCCGACACTCAGGAGGCAGGACCTTTACCCCGAATAAATGAGTCGGGCTAGTATTATCTGTTGTATTCCCTGTTATTTTGTGTAATGATGTACATAACACTTATGAAATTAATATAATAAATCTTTTTTGAATGACTCCGTGTGTGCTTTGAAGTTAATTTGGTGGTTGGACTGTTGTTGGGCTGTTTCGAGTTTTCTGCAGTGCTTAAAGTTGACGGAACTCCCAGAATATGGTGGTGGTACGTGGTGGGGAGTGGCGGAGTTGGTGGTCGACGGTGGTGGGGTAGGGCTGTGGAGCTGGCTGTTGTGGTGGCTGTTGGAGGACTGCAGCATGCAAGCTGTTTGCTGAAGCTTGTTTTCTGCCTGGATGCTGGTTGCTGTTTCCAGCAGAAAAGCGCTGTCTGAGACAGCGCTTTATGTTCAAGCATAAAGCGCTGTCTGAGACAGCGTTTTATGTTCAAGCATAAAGCGCTGTCTGAGACAGCGCTTTATGTTGAACATATAAAATAGTTGTAGTTGAATTTTTTTTTTAAAAAAAACCAGGGGTAAAACGCTGTCCGAGACAGCGATTTACCCTGGAAGCTTAGTTTGGTAAATAGTTTTGCCACGCAATCATTTTTGTCATTAGTTTACATTTAGAGCTCAAATTGGAAAAACGTTCTCCTTCTTCCCTAATTTCTTGAACCATCACCAAAATTCATCACCTGTGTTTGTCGGTTAACTACAACCTTCATACTCATCACCAACCAACCTTCTTCCTTCACTGCTACTACTCTCTCTCTCTTTCTCTCTCATCATCTTCTTCACTTTCTCTCTCCTCTCTCCTCCAATGGCGGCCGCTTTGGCCAGTCCACCTTCGTCTCAAACCATGGTGTCTTCTCCTGCTCTCTCTCCTCCGCGCCACTCGTCGGAATCTGCTGTCGCCGGAAGTTCCTCCGACCTCTCTGATCGTATCACTCGAGCTTCCAGTTTCTCCAGAAATGCCGATTCTCAGGTTTGTTTACTTGATTTTTTGCGATTTTGCTTTTGCTTGGAGTTGATCAACGCTTTTTAATTGTTGAATTTTGGATGATTTTTTTGAATTTGATGTTGAATTATTGAATATTGAATGATTGATTTTGGCAGGCTTTGGATTTGCTTAAAAGTGAAGAGTATCGCCAGCTTTTTCGTCTGCCTTCTGAAGAAGTAAGTCAACTCACTTTTTACTGGGAGGAAATTTGGTGTTGAATGTTCATGCTATTGTTAGGAAATAATGTTATATAAGCTTGGTATCAATTATTGAAATGGAAGAAAATTGTATATTAATTGACATGAAAATCATAATCACTTGCGATCAAACCTAATTTTTTTGATCATATGTTAATAATATCATCAATATTATCAGTTTGGAATTGTTGAATTGTGTATAAATGCTTGAGTATGAAAAGTATTTTATGATTGTACAACCACATTTGCGTCACATTGTTGAGCCACTTTGAGTGTGAATGCGCCCGAACCTCACAGCTCCGTGAATAGTTGGGGATTCAACGAACAAATATACAATGGATGTCTACTTTCAGTTTTTCTAATTGTAGAGATGCACCATCCTTTTCCGAATTAACTAAAGTTAGAGATTATGGAGGAATTAAGTTAACAAAGCAATCGAATTCTTAGTTGTGTACTTGCATAAAAGGAATGTAAGTTATGCGCTCTGCTGCTGCCTATTCTGCATTCCGATTGGGGTTCTGCCGTTCTGGCCAAAATTAGTATCCTGGCATATGCCAACAAATTAAACGCACGCTTCAGGAAATTTACACCTAAAACATTCTTCTCATATGTCTATTAAGTGTACATGATAGGAAACAAATCCTATGAGTATTTGGAATCAGATTCTAGAAACGATGATGGTCTTTAGCCAAAGATCACACAACAAATGACCTCAGCATTGAACCAGCACAAGGTTGTACACTTGTAATTGTGCTTGTGCCATTTATGGAAGAATAGTTCAAATCCCCCTTAGTTTGTACTTTTAAACCTTGAGGTCCTTGCCCATCTTAATTTGATATTCAAGGCGCAGCCACCATATATTGAGTTTGGTCTTGACAAACGAGATTTGTCGGTGTATGTGACTCATGAAGTATTACATTGACAAACTATGGGGCAGGTTGCAACATACAACTCTAATGTGCAATTCCCCCACCCCACCCCAGGTTAAAGGTATTGAGATGGAGGAACAATATTGGTCTATGACTGTGTACTTGGATTTGTTCCTATCCATGATTCTCCGCGATAGTTACAACTTCTATAATTGAACCATGATAAATTTTCATTGCAGATTATATTCTTTAATTGTAAGTTTTATTCACCAATATACATAAGCGATATACAGCTCATTTGATACTTCCTTTATTTCAGGTTCTATTGCAGGATTTTAATTGTGCATTACAAGAAAACATTCTTCTTCAGGTAAGGTTGATTGTATAACCTTCTTTATTATTATTATTTATTTATTTTTTAAAAAATAATTTTTGATAGTTTTCTAATTTTCTACATTGCTTTTCCCATCTGGGGTGCAGTGAATATATGTCTTTTTATCTCAATTGTTGATCATTTATTGGTTTTTAGTTGATTTCTGCATAAAAAATGGATAAAACTATTGTCTAATCTTATCCTTACATTTTGCCACCATGATTGTTTGTGCAGGGGCATATGTACTTGTTTGAGAACTACATATGCTTTTACTCCAACATATTTGGATTTGAAACTAAGGTAACCTGCTCTTCTTACCTCTTGCTATGTGATATATAATGTGGCATACGATTTCTTAAAAACATCACAAATTTGAATAAATTGGAGCAGCTTAGAAATCCGAGCAATTGACAGTTGTCTTTCTCTACTTGAGGATTCACATTCGTATCAATAATTCAATAGGTGTTTATTAACAGGTTATACCACTTTGCCTATACTCTTTAAGACACATATTCCAAACAACAAATGGGCAACCTATGATTTTATGTACCCATGTCAGACAGTCAATTCTCGGACATGTGGATGAAATCCTTAACTGCCCCTTCCATTTTCTTGAGCCTGGAATTGCAGAGAGAAAAAAAAAAGGTTAAAAAAATAGTGAAAATGCAAATAGTCTGTTCAAATTGGAATATGTTGTATAATTGAAGTTTTACTAAACCTGTGTCCATTGTCACCATTTATACAAAATTCGAGCCGTGACATGTCTAACATTTAAAATCATGCTCTTACCCAGTATTCATGCTGATGTCTTGGGGAGCTGGGGGTAGTACCACCAGTTGATATTATTAGGAGATAACTATTCTTTTGTCACATTTTCTACTGTTGTTTCACTATTCACATTTGCACTAAGAATTTGGCTTTTTTGTGGTTGGACTTTATTTTGCTTCAGAAAATAATCTCTCTTCAAGAAGTCACATCTGTACGAAGAGCAAAAACTGCTGGAATCTTTCCTAATGCAATTGAAATTGTGGCTGCTGGAAAGAAGGTAACAATTTTTATCATGATGTGTGGCCTATGGTGCTAGAACATTGATACTTAGATGAGGTCTCGATTTTGATTGTTTTATATGTTTTCTCATGGTTTGGCAGCACTTTTTCGCTTCTTTTTTGTCCCGTGATGAAGCTTTTAAGCTTATTGATGATGGATGGTCACATCAGAGTAATGGTTCTAAAAGGATATTAGATCAACAGGTATTACTATATTTATACTTATTCACTATTGTTAATAGACTAATTGTTGAGAATTTTCAAACTCTAGCACATTCCATAATCATATTATGCAGGAATTTCATTAATGTTGATATCTTGTTACATAGTTTTATCAATGTGATCTGTTGTTTCTGTCCCATCAATGGCAAATATAAGCATGCTGTATTTCCAGAAAAGGGCTTAATTATATACCCTTCTTATCATCTTAAAACTTACCATTATTGAAAATTATATACAGGCCTTTTGCATGTGACACATTTCCTTCTGGAGAGTCTGGTAGTTTTTATTTATTTTTTGGGAAGGATGTGGGGGGGGGGGGGGGTGGTGTTGTGTGTGAAATTTTGCTTGATGTTAATCATGGGATGGGATGGGAGTGAATAGTCTTCAATTCTTAGGAGGGAGCAGTTTGTAATTGGTTATTCCAAAATCTGATGTGTAGCTAGTTTGGGTTGAGTCACATATGTGATTGAATTATGTCAATGGCTGACCCCCCCCCCCCCCCACCCACCCCACAAAACACAACAACAACAAAGCCTTAGTCCCAAAATGATTTGGCCTCCCCCCCCCAAAAAAAAAAAAAATCAATTGTCAGTATGATTGAAAGTCCAATTCAAGTGGGTGATATATTTCCAAATAAATCATCTCTCTCTCTATCCTTTGGGGGATGGGGTTTAAGGTGAAATTGGGTGTTAATGCTAGCTATGATTCGGATATACTGTGTAAATTTCATTTATTCATTATTTAGTTACTAATTTTCAGTTTTGAAAGATCTTGTGATTCCTATAATAACACAGAGTTCTTCAAGTGACTTATACAACAGCAAGTCAGCAATACCTACTTCACAATAAATAAGAAGCATTTATAGCTTAACGAGCTATTTTAATATTGGTTTGTTATAATTTAAATGGTAAAAAAACAGTGATTCTGAGAGACAATTGGAAATTGATGCTTCAGAGATCTAGAACATTGGAGATGATCTTACTCCAACTACCTGTTTTTGCTTGACCCTGCCTTCAAACGTCAAAGACTGTTTGATTATCTTTTATGATCATTTAAAAACAATGTCATACACTGCTGCTTTTGATGACTATCTGGAATTAAAATACAACTTTATTGCAGCTATCAAATTTTGTGGATTTGTATATGAACCTCAGGTTTTTCAATAAAAATTTGTATTTTAACGCTTTTGGCACCCCTGTCAACAATTAGGATTCTAAATCCGAGAGCAGCTCCCAGGTAAATGGAGATATTCCAGCTGAAAACATCAACCTCTCTGATTCCCCTGCGAGTGATTGTGATATAGATGAGAGGTAATTTGTGAGCAACTCTTAGAAATTCTCTTTGATATGCAGCTATTTGGCCTTCTTACTTTGACTTATCTCAGGAATTTGGAGGAGTCTACATCAGAATATACCAAACCTTCTCCAGATTATGTGCTTGATAATGCTAAGCCAACTTCCTCAGAAGTTCCTCATGTGATAGAAGAGAAACAAGATGATGCAGGACCTTCTTCTTCTTTGCGGTCTATCAATTGGAACCTGGAAACTCAGGATGCTCCTGAAAGTAAATCACTCTTTTTTCTTTTTTTGTCAATTCCAGCTGCACGCTTCAAATTTGTTAGATCCTGGAAATATATTACATTCCTTCAATAAAATACGTTGATTAGTTTGCTAGAGATGCTTCCTTTTCTTTTTAAGTAAAGAGCTTGGTGGCAGATAATAGATAATCCTGTCCAATTTGTTAAGAGTTGATTCAGGTTACTCGATTATGTAGAATTGAATTTCGTGCTTGTGAACTAGATAACTTTGATTAGTAAGAACTTAGAAGTGAATGATTTCATAGTGAAAGGACAACAAATGTAACATAATGTTTGACGCAAGCTTTGTTCACCTCTTGTCAATCTTTAACTGAAAGGTTAATATGTGCGCACTGTTTTCAATTTTTGTTGTTATTATGCTATATTTCTGTACTATTATGCATAGATTACCTTGTATAAATCCACACTTCATGATCCCTTATAATTTCTGATGGTGCCTTTCCAATGTGCAGTACCTAAAATTTACACTAAGATTGCAGAGTCCAAGTTTCCGGTATGTTTTGCTCTTATTCTTACGTACAACCTAAGAGTATTTATTTTCATTCCTTACGATAATTGTTGTGTGGTGCTATGGTGATCTATAGCAGTTATATGTTGCTGATTTCTATTAATTTGATATAACATCAAATCTGCCTGTGAAATGCAGATAAATGTTGAGCAGTTCTTCAATCTATTTATATCTGACGAAGCTGTTGGTTTTGTTGAATCTTTCCACAACAAATGCGGAGATAAAGGTATTCCTCTCAGTATATGTGAACTTTACTCAGTATATTTGAACCTTATATGAAGGGAACCTGATTATTCAATATAGGAGGGATTTGGGTGATGGTAATTTTTAAGAGCTTCTCTGGCTAGAAAAAGATGAAAAATAAAGGAAGATAGGCTATAGAACTCAATTACCTAGTTTGTCTGAAGCAGGTTGCTTATTGCTTCTATGAATACAGATTTTAGGTGCACTTCATGGTTGCCTCATGATAAGTTTGGATATACTCGTGAAAAAAGCTTTCAGCATCCGGTGAAAATATATTTTGGTAAGCTACATCTCTATTGAACCAGTATCATACTTGAACAGATTTTTTGAGTATGGCCTAAGATGCTGATTTTTTCTGTTTCTTAAGGGGCAAAATGTGGTGGATGCAAGGAGACGCAAAATCTTCAGGTTTACAAGGACAGGTACACTGTACACTGCATGTTTCTTGGAATGTTTGTGTCATCATCACTAAACACTGAATGGCTATAAGGCTATAACTTCTTGACTTTACATTCCAAATTATTTCTTTTGAAGTTCATTACTATATTTACTTGGAAATTTATTGGGTTTGTCTACAAGAAAAAAAAAAAAGAAGAAGAAGAAAAGCTGATTATTTCACTTTTACCCAATCAAATCATGTTATATTCACTGGGACTAGGGTTGTCACTGCTTAATTTTGTCTTGCAATAAGTGATTTTTAAGGATTGCCAATTATTAGTAATGTGCTAGGCCATTGTTTTTGACACTAATTTTTCTCAACATCTTGCCAGCCATCTTGTCATCAGAACTTCACAGGAAGTGAGTGATGTTCCTTACGCAGATTACTTTACTGTTGAGGTAAACCTTCCTGCTGATTTTTTTTTTTACTCAACTGATCAGTCTTCATTGTTAAATAATTTTTTCCATGTATTTGTATTCTTAGATGTTAATATTTGTGTCCTGATTTTTTGTAGAGACATTAGGTTTTGATTTTGGTCTTTTGTTTATGTTATTGATTTTTTTCAATCCATATACTTCAGAATAATTGTCTCAATTTTTAAATTTGCTGGTTTAGAGGTTATAGTCCTAGAAGGATACCATGCATAGTCTAGAACAGTATATTTGATTAATATTTTGTGGTATACATGGTGAACTCGCGGTCATCCATTGCTAGGAGCTTCCTTGGGGTAGGTGTAGTCAACTAGTCAATGACACAATATCCTTAGTCTTTTGAGAAGGTGAAGCCAGTAGGCCAGCTTCTTGTATAGTTTCTGTTCTAGTCTTTGTTTGAGACATTGATGTACTAGTGTGTAGTTACTCCGAAATCCTCTCAAGCTTGTGCTGTATGCTTTGAGGTGTGCTGTTGAATTTGAAAAGAAAATATAACTTCTAAAGAGATGAGGCTTTGTTTCCGATGTTACTGGTATATGTCCATTATTATGAATCCCATTGGGTTGCTATGGGAATCTATCTCATATTTTTTTTCTTTCAAATTAGTAATCTTCTGTTACTAATCTTATTTTCAAATGTCTTTTCAGGGAATATGGGATGTTCAGAAAGACAGTGATGAATCAGAAAGTTGTATATTGCAAGTTTATATAAATGTGTCTTTTTCTAAGAAGACCATGTGGAAAGGTTTGTTGACTCTCTCTGTCTCTGTGTGTGTGTGTGAACTGGAGCAGCAGAGCCCTTGTATTGGTTGACTTATGGAGTTAATATATTTTTTTCCCTGTGTATTACAAGCATCGTGTTCCTTGATTGGGATGCAGATTTTGATCTCTGCCCCTTCTCTGCCCCTTGTATACTTTGTCTGGATGTATTTGATTGATGCTAGTTGCATTTACCTTGCTATTATCATATAGGTAAGATTGAGCAATCAACTGTGGAAGAGTGTCGAGAAGTTTTTGCATCCTGGATAGAACTTGTATTATCTCTTTCTCTGTGTTGTGCTTTTTTTTATTGGAGTTCCTTACATTTTTATTCCCAGTGAAGAATTTATTTTTATAATTTCTCTCAGGCACATGAACTATTAAAGAAGAAGAACATCGAGAAACCAGAAGGTACAATGACATTTTAATATGAAGCAGTTCTTAGCATTGACCAGCAACCAGTTTAATTTTCTGCATCGAGTGGTCCAATTACAGTCACACCCCCCCTTTTTTTTTTTTTTTCATTTGTGGACATCTTTTGTGCAGAAGGAGCTGTACCTAACACGATCCAGGATGGCCAAGGTGATCAACAAGTCACTGGAGGATCTGCAGATCACTCAGAAAGTTTTCATGGGAAGAGTGAGCCGCAGGGGATAATTGATACTGTAGCTAACTCTTGTAGCACTCGTGAACAAATTAGAAATAGCTTACGTGAGAATCTGCTTCATGCTACTACAGCAATAACTTCTACTTCGAGAGAGATTGCAGTAAAGTTTTGCACTTTTTTGAGAAGTAAAGGCAACCTCCAACCAATTTTGGTGATTGCATTTTCTATTATCCTCCTCTTAATGCAGGTATAATAATGTTCATACTTTTTCCTTATATTTTAAATTCACTGTCAGCACTGAGCACTAGTCACCTTTAGACTCACTCGAAGCTATTCTGATACGAATGAGAGATTTATTATGTATGCCTGTTCTGTTGGAGTAGCACTTATCAACTCCCCCTCCTTGTTGATATTTTACTGCGTCTCACTGCAGCTCAGCATTGTTGTGCTATTAAGTAGACCGCAGCCAGTGTATGTAATTCCTCAAGCAGATCACACAAGTTCTGCAGGAATAGGGGTTGGTCATAGAGCTGCAGAAACAATGGCTTGGATGGAAAAACGAGCAAACTTGCTGAAGGATGAGATGCTTGCGGTTGAGGCTCAGCTTGAAAGGATGAGACATGAACACGTTTTTTTGAAAACACAATTAAAGGACTTTGAGCGTCTACTTGAGCAGCAAAGATGACTGCCCCATGAGCTCTTGTATATTCTTTTATCAATCCCATTAATGGTATACCTTTATACTCATTATATTTGAAATTTACTCTATTCATTTGTGATACGATGGTTAATTTATTTGGTTCCAGGTTTTCAGCCAGTGACTTGATGTTGGCCGGTGCAGAAAGGATCTTGTGTGTATAGGGTTGCATGGATGACGCTTGCAAATTCAGAGACTTGTAACAAGTCCTGTTTGTAGCATTTTATATCCAGTGTCTTCATATGTCTTCTAGCTAATGAATCTTATGTTCTTAGTGACCCAGTAGACTAGTTTAATACAAAGTATGTAGCAGTGGAAGCTGTAAATTTATTAGACTAAACAATTCAAAGACAGAAAGATTTGCAGGGAGTTTGTAAAAACTATACGAGTTGTAAAATTTGTTTGGAAAGATTTAGGAGAAAAATACAAGGTAGGCATTGGTTTTCGGCTGATAGTTGTGTGGCATTAAATTCAATGTTACATTGCAATCAAAGGAGATTAGGGTGTTCTTGTAATGAATCATGGTGCAAGATTCTTAAAGTGATTGTTCTTCAGTTGTTCTTGTTATCGTCATGATGCAATAAATTATGTAATATGTTTCTGCTGTGTAGTTTCGGTTATCTTTGGTTTCTGAATATTAAGGAGGCCGACGTGAGTTCTGTTTCACGATTCCAGCGGTGCTCCAATCTAACCAGTATATTGAGCTTGGGTTCACCTGATAAACTTTTTATAGACCACATATGAGCTTATTAATAGAACACCCATCTACGAATTTTTTACTTTTATAGGTTGCCATCACATGAAATTTGTTATCAATAGTGGTTGAGAATGGAATGGTAGATTTTATAAGTTGCACCCCATTTAGAAAAACTTTTGTGTTTAACACTAAACTTTTAAAACCAGCTTTACTACATTCGTCCTGGAAACATATATAGTACGAATACATAGAAAACAACACTTCTCCTCACTAAACCTCACTTCATTCCATCTCTATTACTAACTACTAAGGAAGGTAGAAAGAAAGAGGCAACAACCAAAGATTTGGTTTATGTATTATTGCTAATGGAAGCACCATTGCTAGTATTATTCATCATCTTAATCCTGATTACTGTCAACAATCTCAGAGGTAATCTTATATTTGGGTGTTGAAAAAATTGTACTCCGTAACTTTTTGCACTTTTTTGTTTAGTATTTAATCATTTGATGCATGCTTCAATCTTCTTCATATTCTTTGCTCCTTTGTGTTTTTCTTTCCTATCCAGACATGTCTATTTCTTGTAATGTATCATATTTACTCGCTTTTGCACGATTAAACAGCATGTATGTCGACTGTCGAGTACTCTGACTACTCGAGTCCCCCCAAGAAACTGATAGTGTTTTAAAGGAAAATATATATTTTACAGAGGTGTTTGGTGATAGATCATTATCAAATAATGCATTCTAATTTCTAAATCACAAATGTATTAAGATTTGTTCTTGTTGTTAAAGACTACAGTATAAGAATATTGTTCTCATTTTCTCAATGAAATTGCATGAACAATTAAACTAACGTTGGTGTTTGATAAGTTCACATGATATTACTATTACGAGTAATTATTTGTGTCCTATTAACATACACTTTAAGTGGTTGTGGTCTGTGAATTGAAGCTTTCACGTGAAAGTGAAAGTATATAGTCCATTAGTCGTTATCTTTAGGGGATATAACAACTGTTCTTATAATGGTTAGTCTGGTGCACAGTAATTGTCATTTTGTAAGCCGGAAAGCACTATTCCGATGTACAGTAATTGTCATTTTATAAGCCGGAAAGCACTACTAATGTTCACTAATTACATTTATATTTACAACTGTTTTTCTCATTCTGGGATGCAAAATGCAGGGGTAGAGTCCATTGCCTTTACATTTAAAAACAACTGCCCATATACTATATGGCCGGGGACTCTCTCTGGCGCAGGCAGCCCAATATTATCTTCGACAGGATTTGAGCTTCCTAATGGTGCCACATTTACTCTTGATGCACCGACTCCTTGGTCTGGCAGGTTCTGGGCACGCTCACTTTGCCAGTCTGATGCCACCGGCAAATTCAGGTTAGTAATCTGTGATTTTTTGAATCGATGCCTAACTTCCAAAACCAAATCATCAGGCTTCAACCAAGTTATCTAACAAGAAGAAATAATATGATCATTAATAAGTTATGGCAACTACAAGATACTAAATATCAACTCAATTGAAACTTGATCCGAGTAAAACTTGAATGTACTCTATACTGAAAGCATATCCTACAGCATCACTGCTTCACTGAAAGAAGTATCTCAAAAACAAACATGATAGTGTCTCAACAAAAATCCTTACAAGCCCGAATTTCACAGCCAGTTGATGTAACAATTTACATGTAACACACATAATATTAGGTCTCAGCAATAATGTAGATATTCTACTACGTATATTATCAGTCTTCCTATGGGACAATGTTGATTTTCCTCTTAAAGAGATTATCTTTGTAATAATCATTACTAATTTTATTAACCCGCGCTAAATCTACAGTGTCATTGTTTTCCAGGTGCAGCACAGGGGATTGTGGTTCTGGTGAGAAATCATGTAACGGAAAAGGAGGAGCTCCACCTGCAACCCTAGCAGAATTCACTTTAGGAGGAAGCACGAACAAGGACTTTTATGATATCAGCCTCGTCGATGGCTTCAACTTACCGTTATCAGTGGTCCCACAGGGCGGGACTAATGAGTGTCCTGCTACAAGTTGTGCAGCCAATTTGAACATTCAGTGCCCAGAAACACTGTCTTTTAAGGATACTAAAGGGAGTACCATAGGTTGTAAGAGTGCATGTTTGGCATTTAACCAGCCACAATATTGTTGTACAGGGGAATACAAGACACCGCAAACATGCCCACCAACAAATCAGTCACTATACTTCAAGAACCGGTGCCCTCAAGCTTATAGCTATGCCTATGATGATTCTACAAGTACCTTTACGTGCCCTACAGGTGTTAATTACCTCATTACTTTTTGCCCTTGATTCTTTTGGAAAAAACCACAAGAACAATACCATGTACGCAGTAAGTTTTATAGTAGAATTGCAGCAGTTTCTATGTTAATAATTCTATCAGGTATGAAGATCCGAGGACAATTGATATAAAGGGGGTCGAGCTGAAAGTCTTTGACACCAGCATAGCCTGTTTACCAGAGTTTCCAGCACTAAACAAGCAGGGCTAATATAATTTTATTGTATGCAAGCCAAAATTTTATATTCTTAGATGGTGTAAATGAAGATAATTATTAGAAGATAGTCTATTGTACAAGGTCAACCAAGGGAAAAGGGAATATACGAATAGGATTTCTACGAAATAACTCCCTCATACCACGGGATTCCTCTTCCTCAAAATTTTCTTAAGCTTATATTCAGGTTCCTAAATAGCAAAAGCATGACTTCATCCAAGCCATTCCAAGGCTTTGAAATTTCTCTCTTATGATGGTACCTGCAGTACCAGATATCTCCATCCTAATCTGCTAACCTGCAGAATTCATTGAGCCGCTTCAGGCATTGAATTACAAAAAGGACATAACTTTGAGAATAAGATATCCTGCTCTTCATATGTACGGCACAAAGAAGAGTGTTTGGGAGGGTCAAATTTCTAATTTCGTTCAAACTTCATTCCAATAGATGTGGATGAACCTGATTAATGAGCTAACCAGGTGACAGAATGTTAAATAAAAACACTATTACTAGTACAACCCACAAAATTACCAAATTAATCTAACACAAAACTATACTCTTGTTAGTAACCATTTGTCTTCTAACTCACACCTCTCAACAATTAGAATCTCGGAACAAAATGGAACCACCATCAAGCTCGAGTAATCTTATCATATATAGCATATACTAAAATGTCCATTCTAAGATTATGCACATCACAGTCTGTCGCTTATCCTAAAACCATATATGCTTCAGATCATTCACTTCGAGAAACACCCTGGAATCACAGTACCACAGCAGATGCATCCACTAAATGTACTGCATCTAGATCCTCAAATACATCCAAGCGAATACGGTATACCTATGCCATCAAACACTTCCCTAGACTCCATCGGATCACTTCTCTCAAATCCATTCCTGTAATCAAACACACTCAAAGACCAAATAGACAAGAAGTGCCAACTAATCAAGAAATATACAAGCATCTGACACTGACTAATTATAAAAATACTGCCATAACTTTCCCTCACATGTACTTGTTTGTTTTGCAAAACCCAAATCTAGACCATCTGACAACAGTTGTACTCACTTATAGTCAATGGAATCTTCTAGCCCTCGAATATGCATCTCACTAGTAATCCAAATAAACATATACACCATTATCAAACTCGACGAATTCCTGGCATCTAATATCACCCTCAAATGTCAACTGGTGCACCACATGTAATCCCACACTTTCCTCTATTACATGACATAAATCCGCAGCCTATCATTGCGCAACACAGCAAGCCTTACAACTACACTAGATATACATGATTGCTTCAGACTCTCCTATAACTATAATTTCCATCATTAAGTTCAGAATAATCTTACTTTATCCAATAAAACCCATGTAAGACTAAGATCAAAGGTAAACTTTACTCATAATTCCAACTATTACACCAATAACAGCAATAATTAATTATAATTCGAAATCAGGATTGCATCAAGAATTGCACACAACAAGAGGTGTGTAATACTGATATACATATACTGTAAATGACAATATCAATCACAGTTCAGTAAAAATAAAAGCAATCCACTAATCAACAAAATATGTACTGTATTATAAAGTAGACTACATTCAATTACAAATATATACATAAACAATTAAGTTACAAGGAAATTTCCCACCAAAAGAATTAGAACCCACATTAAAATTTTAAAAACCCAGATCAAAAAACTTGCCAAAAATAGCAGACAAACAATCAGAAGATACCTGGGGCTTGGTTCATGCATAAAAAAATTAGTCAAATTTGAGCAAGATTCCTCATCAACTATCATTGACCAAAAAGGGTTGCCAAAAAAATTAGAAAAATAAAATATTTTTTAAAAAAATAAGGTAAAACAAACAGAAAAACAGGTGTGTGAGTGAGTTGAAAAATAGAGGAAAAAAAAAATGAAATGGGTGTCATTGGGAAACATAAAACATGCAGTTTTTGTTTCTCTCTCTTTTAATTTCTACCCAATTGTTTAAACTAATTGGAAGATTCCCAAAAAATGCTTTGTTGTTAATGAAGATTTATTAAATTAAAAAAATAAATCACAGATTTTAGAAAAAGAGTCAGTAGTATTAGAGTTACTATGCAAGCAGCAATTTTCACCATTTAAAAAGTGTCCCCCTTTCTCAGTACTTGAGGCATCTTCCCACATTGTATTCCAAAGAGAGAGAAAATAACCCCACAAAATTATGTTATTACAAGATCTAATTTTTACTTTTCTCTCTATACCCTTCTTTAAGATTTCTCAGATTTTGAGCTCGATGTGATATTGTAGTTAGTACCCTCGCTTTGAAATTACTTTAGTGTTTTGCTCGTATCTTCTTCGTTGTCGTTTCGTTTTAACCATTCTACAACGGGGTTTAAAGGGGTGATTGATTTGCGAAACGACGACGACTTGAGGGGAAGACATTCTATGATTGTAAGCATGATATGAGTGTGATAGCAGCAGGAGCTACAGTGACAGTGATTTAAATGCAGTTGAACATTTTTGTGAGAGTGAAAGGTAAGTAAGTACACTAGAAATTAAATAATGTTATCAAATTTATTTTTAAGTAACAGTTATATTTGTTGTATTTTTTTTAGTGTGACTATCATTTTATTGATTGATGGATTTTTTTTTTTTTGCATTTGTCGATTTTTCAAGTTTCTACTTATGGTAAATTTTAACAATGTTGGTAGGAAAATACTAAGTGGGTCCACTTTGGGTTTATTTTCATATAAATGCAAGTGGAAATTTTAAGTAATGCTCCCATTTATTGTTGGGTTTATTAGAAGAAATTGAAGTTTATGATATGAGATGATAAACAGGTTGTTTGATTCAAGTTCCAAAAAATTACTAGTTTGATTCAATGCTTATTTAGCTTTGAATCGTGTTGTAATGAATATTTGGGTTTATTATTGATTAACTTATTACGATGAATTAATAAATAAATCATCACATTAATTTCCGTGTCCGGTCAAAATCAAGTCATGTATTCGAAGTTTGGGTCTTATTTTAGATCATGTCATTGAGTATGGGCCAATTTATCCATGTTCATTAACTATTTGAAAGTTAACATGTAACATGTTGATAGTTTAATGTCATGTTAATAAATGATAAGGTGATTGCTCTCTTTGTCCCAAAAATCATTTAACATGGGTCGATTAGATTTTGTCGCAAAAATATAAGATAATGAGTTAAAAGTGAATAGAGAACTAAAATTAACAAGAAATATTGTGGTAATTATGAGAAGAAATATTGATATAGAAGAAAGTGGGTCCAAAGTGCACAACTAAAGAGTAGCTTATTTTCATTACTATTTATAATAATAGAAAGGCAAAGCTAATGAGCGCCCTCGGGGCGTTAGATAAAAGAATTAAAGTGCAAATATTAGAGTAAAATTAACATTAATTACACCGAACGATGCGTGATTTTGTCATGAATTCCTAACTTAATACCATTTCAACCAATATAATTTATCCTTATCTAACGCCTCGGGGCGCTCGTTAGCAAGATCGTAATAGAAAATATATTTTTAACACATCTCAAAATAGATCACAAGAAGATAGTTATAGGAAAATTGAAGTAATGGCATTAGAAATGTTAGGTAAAGCAATTGCTCAAATAATTGTGTTATTTATTTAAATTGTCATCAAAGTATATGGACAAGGGTAAATTAATTGAAAGACAATTTTGTTGGTTGAGATTTGTTATAAATTGAAGAATTGTTGACTTATTTTATTGTTGTAGCCCTATTTTAGTTAATTAGCTTAATTATTATTTAACCAAGAACCTTTAAAGTAAGCTAACTAATTGACAAATTAGTATAGCCTCATACTTATTTTAGCTACCTTTCACCTTTGTAATCACATTTGTTGTAAATCATCAATGTCATCACTCATCACTTGAGCCTAAAAAAAATATAATAAAGTAAAATAAAATTTAAAAATTTTAAAAAAAAATCATTTAAGCAATGTAAAAATTTAAAAATTACTTTTTTAAAAATTTATTTACAGAAAACAGACAGTAAAACTTAAAAAAATGATGATCATAATAGGAAAATAAAATGGCAAGATTTAAGAACAGAAAAACAAATAACTTGGGTAAAAAAAAATGTCCCATAAATAATTAGATGCAAAAAAGGGATTAAGCAGTGGTTTAAATAGAATTAAAGGAGAAAGTGAAGTGAATTGTAGGAAAGCTTAATTGGGTAAGGGACATGAAGAGATGGATGAAATTACCATCCTTGGGAAGTTTATCATAAAATAGGGAGTTTCCAAGTTGTATGTGGGTCTACTATTGGTTCACACTAACATATATACATACATAATTACATATCCATGGCCCTTATAGAATTTTAATATTATAAGGTTTTTAATTTAAAAAAAAAAAAAAGAAAAAAAAAAGATTGATTTCATTTCATTTAAAAGTTGTCTTATTAGGTTTTTCATAGAGTTAATAAACATTGCATTGAATTAAAAATTTCATGTTTTTCATGTTCTCTCTTTTCACCCTTCATTTTTACCCCCTCTTGTTAAAGACTTGAGAGTATATTGTTTGTTTGTATTTCCTTTACCCTTTTGAGGACTCTTAACCCTTGTCTTAAAATCTTACTTCAGATAACTTAAACTATGAAACAAGAAGAAAAACTTGTTGTATGATAACATATCTTGGTTCAGTAATCATAGTATTCCATGAAATTTCCATTTTTCATGCCTTTATAATATTCACCTTTTTTCATGTTTTTTCACATCGAAGTCACACTCAACTTTGTGTAAGAGTATTAAGCTCTTTTAGGTATTAGAGTTTGCTTTTGTGAATATAAGATTGAATTGGAACACTTTCACTTTGTAGGTTATAAATGAGAGTAATAAGCCCTTTTTGTTTAACTTCTTGTTGGAATATGATACTTTGAGCAAACGTTGATAAAGAATAAGGGATGATAAGTTGATCTTAAAGATCGGCAAAATTATACTCCCTAAAGTATGATTCGAGTCAATTAAATTACAACCGCCAAATAGTACCAAAAGTAATCTATCACCGTGCAAGTCTTTGAATTATTACAATAATCCCCCAATATACCACGAAAATATGAGACTGGACTATTTTATTACTAATCCCTAAGATCGAGCTGAGGACCTCCTTTCATATAGAATAAGGTTGAGTTTCTACTATAGAAATGATAACTACACTATCATCATTAACAAAAGTTTCTCTATTAACATAAAGAAAACATTAAACACACACTAAATACACATATACATAATAAATGAGCACTCAAATAATTGAGCTAGTTGCCACTTTATTTCATTACCCCTTTTTATAACCAAAATACATGTGCTTTCATAGTTTAATTTTCCATTTCTACAAGTATTTGGTGTGGGACTTAAGGCATTGTCTTTCTTAACCTTATTTGTGAAGAAATCATTTAACCACATTCTAAGGTGGGCATGTACTCGTACTTGTGTCCTCATCCTCAATCATAAATATTTTCTAGCCCTACCCTTTTGGAATTACCAAGGTTAATTTTTATTCTTTTTTTTTTTTTTTTTTTTTTTTTTTTTTTTTTTTTTTTTTTTACTTTGAGGGGTAGTAAAAAAGAATGAGTCTTTCCTTCATTCCTTATTGTATGTTATGTTATGTTATGTTTGATTACAACATCCTTAAAAAACACTTTTCTACTCCCTAGAAAAAACACCCATTTTTTTTACTTAGCAGTATAGTATTTTTCCTGATTCCTGCAGGATTATATATAGCCGCAATATTGCAGTAACCTTCATTAAATGGAAGAGAACAAGGGAAAGAGGCGGCCCCGGCCTCGCTTCACATCCGAAGAGGCCGGGGATTCATCAGTGGAGTGTTCAGGGAAGCAGTGCAGATCATGTGCTGCAGCCTTGGTTGCTGACTGTGTTGCTGTCTGTTGCTGCCCTCTCGCGCTTGTCAGTCTGTTAGCTCTTGCCTTTGTTAAAGTACCTTATTTAGTAGGCAGGAGGTGTCTGAGGAAAAGGAAGAACAGGAAAAGAAAATGCTGCAAAATCGGCGAAAATGGAACTAGTATTGATATCAACAGCAGGGATATTAGTCTGATTTCAGGGAGATTAAGTCAGAGTAAATCAGATATTATCTTTGAATTTGGTAAAGAAGGTGATAATATTAACAATAATAATCAAGAGTTGGAAGAAAGAAGAAGCTTTTGTGCTGCATTTGAAGCTGATAAAGTATTATTTGAGTTGTACCAAGTTGGTCATTTGGGTTTTGGTAGGGTTTCTTTTACAGGAATTCAACCTTTTGGTAAGGAAAATCAAGGGTAAATTTTAGTTTTTTAAGTTTAGTAATTTTTAGTTAGAAAAAAAAAAAAAAAAAGTACAGAAAACTCTGTTTTTTCCTGAGAAGTGAAAAAAAATCAGGTATTTTTTACCTAAGGGGAAAAAGTGAGTGTGTTAATTGTGAAATTGACTTTGTTGTGAGAATGGACCAATCAGTGAGGATGTTATAGGTTATATTGTGCAGTGGTTGGTTATTTTGATAAAGTATTGTACTGTCTATAGTTGTAATTTTTATGATCATATTGATATATTCATATTGTTGATCATTTTATGTTGTGAAAAGATATGAATTTTGCTAAGGTTGTTTGTTTTACATCAAAGTGGAGAGACATGCTTTTTTACATGGATGAGTTACAAAGTTTCTTGCTTTCTTTGCATGATATAATTGTTGTACTTGTTAGTAGGGAAGAAGAATAGCCAAGTTTCTTGCTATCCTTGCATGATGATTGTTGTAATCCTAAGTGAAGGAGATTGTCTTTACGCCGTTCAGGCGTTAATTACATACCCGATATAGGTGAGATCATACCAAGTACACCGTAGCTCGATTTGTTTATCGTGTGAGGTAGGAAACAAAGTTGAGAGATTAATTAGAAGTAAAATTCAAAACTAAAAATTGCAAGACGATTTTCATAATAATTTGACATCAAAGTTAAACCAAAATCGTACAAACATATAGTAGCTTTCATTGCATAACCATAGTATAGTCGTCGAATCAAACCATTATTATATGTCTCGTATTGGGGCATGTTCTCATTGACTGAACTCATCTGAACTGAACTGAAATGAGCTGATCTGAACTGAAATGAGCTGAGCTGAGTTGAATTGAACTGAACTGAACTGAATATTTTATAAGAGAAGGAAATTAGGAGTTGAACTGAACTGAACTAATTTCAACGTAAGAGAACAGGCCTTTAGTTTAGACTACAAAATAAATTTACAGCATCTACATTAAGTTGAGTAATATATATACAGGTATTATTAATAATATAATCGAGAAAATATGTGATTACGTCATAGCCAATTGGGATATTATGCAATTAAGCACACGACAATTGTAATTAATTGGCAATAATAAAACATCAAATTACAGGGCTTGATACCTACAGTGCTATCTACCAACCTAAATCTTGTTGCTTTGCTAGTCTACAAAGATTCTCAATTTGTGATTGTTATATTAAGGTCAAATTAATGGGTTAATTAAGTAACTAAGGATATGTATTTTTCATTCCAAACTCACAATAATTACCTCAGTTTGGTGTGGGTTACTGAGGATGTGGAACTATTTATGATTATTATATGTTGTCATAAATGTTCGTGATAGGCTTGATTTAATGAAATCGGTGCAAGTTGTAAACCGGTAAATTGACCGTTTAAAGGCAAATTGGATGGATACATCCACCAAATTGGACTCCCGGAGGGTATTAGGGACCATGGTAAAAATTTCGGCAAATTTTATTTCCGGGCGAAAAAAATTCAAAAAATTTACAAAATTGAAGGCTTATATACACGCTTTTTGAGAAATTTTGGAGTCTTCGGGGCCTGGTGTGTAAAAGTCTTGAAATTCTACGGAATACATCTCGGGGTCATATAATGTCGTTTGGAACCATATGAAATCATTATTTGGTTTAAAAAATGTTCATGGTAGGCTTGAGTTAATAAAATCGGTGCAAGTTGTAAACCGATTAATTGGTCATTTAAAGACAAATTGGATGGTTCCACCAAGTCAATTGGACTCCCGAAGGGTATTAAGGACCATGGTAAATATTTCGAAAATTTTTATTTCCCGCAGCCTCTATTCCACTCATTTATTAGATGTAGGGAGAAAATAACTATTTTATTTTTTTTCCCTCTCAAGTAATCTCTAATAACAAGAGTGCATTAATTTAACTTAAAATACATTGAATTTGCAATGGGTATTGATTTTTACATTATCCTCTTCGAATTTGATAAGAATCATACAAATCTATTATGTGTAGAATCAATAAAAACCACTTTTCATCCTTCAAAAAAAAATAAAAAAAATAAAACCACTTTTTAATATTTCGTTCAAATTGTATGAAATGATTGAGCCTATTTCGTGTGTCACCTAACTTCATCCAATTCGTGTTCATATTCATTAGATCTCGGAATATTGTTCGCTAATTGATTATGTGAGTAATTCGAATAAACAAAGGTATAAATTTCTGGAAAAGATGTGGAAGAAGGTGGAAAGGAAAGCAGACAAAAATGTCGTGAAGATGATTTTAGCTTAGAAGGGTATTTATGGTATTTAGGAGGGGTGTATAGTAGTAACTAGAGGTTGCGTTTAGCAATCATGCAAAAAAATTTCAAAATAGAAGGCTTATATCCACGCTTTTTGAGAAATTTTGGAGGTTTCGTGGCCCAGTGTCGAAAAGTCTTGAGATTTAAGAGAATTCATCTCGGGGTCATATAATGCCGTTTGGAACCACATATAACCATTATATGTTGTCATAAATGTTCGTGATAGGCTTGAGTTAATGAAATCGGCGTAAGTTGTAAATCGGTAAATTGGCCATTTAAAGGCAAATTGGATGGATACACCCACCCAATTGGACTCCCGGAGGTTATTAGGGACCATAGCAAAATTTTTGGGAATTTTTATCTCCGACTGAAAAAAAGTCAAAAAATTCCAAAATTGAAGGTTTATATCCACGCTTTTTGAGAAATTTTGGAGGTTTCGTGACCCGGTGTCGAAAAGTCTTGAGACTTTAGATAATATATCTCGGGGTCATATAACGTCGTTTGGAACCATATATGATCATTATATGTTGTCATAAATGTTTGTGGTAGGCTTGAGTTAATAAAATCATTGCAAGTTGTAAATCGGTAAATTGGACGTTTAAAGACAAATTGGATGGATACACCCACCCAATTGGAATCACGGAGGGTATTAAGGACCATAGTAAACATTTCGGCAATTTTTATTTCCGATCGAAAAAAAGTTAAAAAATTCCAAAATTGAAGTCTAATACTCACGCTTTTTGAGAAATTTTGGAGGTTTCGTGGTTCGGTGTCGAAAAGTTTTGAAATTTTAGGGAATACATTTTTGGGTCATATAATGTTGTTTGAAACTGTATATGATCCTTTTTTGTTGTCATAAATGTTAGATGTAGACTTCAGTTAATAAAATCGATGGAAGTCGTAGACCGGTAACTCGGTTGTTTAAAGGCAAATTGGATGGTTGCATTTAGCCAGGTGTACTCCCGGAAGATATTAGGGACCATTGTAAATATTACGACAATTTTTATTTCCGGGCGAAAAAAGTCAAAAAATTCCAAAATTGAAGACTAATATCCATGCATTTTGGGAAATTTTGGAGTTTTCGGGGGTCATTGTCGAAAAGTCTTGAAATTATAAGAGATAAATCCCGGGGTCATAAAATGTCATTTCGAACCATATATGATCATTATATGTTAGCATAAATGTTCTGGTAGGTTTGAGTTAATTAAATTAGTGCAAGTTGTAAAACGGTAAATTGACCGTTTAAAAGCAAATTGGATGGTTCCACCCACCTAATTGGACTCTCGGTGAGTATAAGGGACCATGGTAAACATTTTGGTTATTTTTGAAAAAAAGTCAAAAAATTCCAAAATTAAAGTCTAATAACCACGTTTTTTGAGAAATTTTGGAGGTTTTGGGGTCCGGTGTTGAAAAGGCTTGAAATTTTAGGAAATGCATCTCGGAGTCATATAATGTTATTTGGAACCATATATGATCATTATTTGTTGTCATAAATGTTCGTGGTAGGCTATAGTTAATGAAATCGGCGGAAGTAATAAACCGGTGAATTGGTCGTTTAAAGGCAAATTGGATGGTTCTACCCACCCAATTAGACTCACGGAGGATATTAGGGACCATGGTAAACATTTCAGCAATTTTTATTTCTGGTCGAAAAAAACTCAAAAAATTCTAAAATTAAATCCACACATTTTGCGAAATTTTGGAGGTTTCGAGACCCGATGTCGAAAAGTCTTAAAATTCTAAGGAATACATCTCGTGGTCATATAATGCCGTTTGGAACCATTTATAATCATTATATGTTGTCATAAATGTACGTGGTAGGCTTGATTTAATGAAATTAGTGTAAGGTGTAAACCTGTAAATTGGCCGTTTAAAGGAAAATTGGATAGTTCAAACCACCCAATTTGGACTCCCGCAGGGTATTAGGGATCATAGTAAACATTTCGGCAATTCTTATTTTCGGGCGAAAATAAGTCTAAAAATTCCAAAATTGAAGGTTATTATCCACGCTTTTTGAGAAATTTTTCGGGTTTCGAGACCAAGTGTCGAAAAGTCTTGAGATTTTAGGAGATACATCTCGGGATCATATATGGTGTCATAAATGTTTGTGGCAGGATAAAGTTAATGAAATCGGTGCAAGTTGTAAACTGGTAAATTGGCTATTTAAATACGAATTGGATGGTTCCACCCACCCAATTGGAGTCCCATAGGATATTAGGAACCATGGTAAATATTTCGACGATCCCGTAAAAAAAAGGTAAAATTTTCCAAAATTGAAGGCTAATATCCATGTTTTTGTAGACATTTCGAATGTTTCGGGACTTGGTGTCGAAAAGCAATGAGATTTTAGGGGATACATCACAGGGTCAAATAATGTCGTTTAGAGCCATATATGATCATTATATGTTGTCATAAATGTTCGTGATAGGCTTGAATTAATGAAATCAGTACAAGTTGTAAAGCGATAAATTGGTCATTTAAAGGCAAATTTAAGGTTCCACCCAACCAATTAAGGACTTTTCTCTTCACCTAAAACAAATAGATCTGGTCTGAATTTTTTAAGGTCTGATCGAAATTTTTCTGATCTGGTCTGGTCTGATCTGATTTAACACTAAATTTTGACCGCATTTTAATACTAATCTGTAAAGAAAAATATTATCAAAATGGATCTTGTTAGATTAGTCTCATTATGAACTTTTTAAATATTTAATTTTTATAAAAAAAAATTAATACGCAATTAACGATATTTAGCAATAAGTAAATGATAATCAAAAG